ACGTTAAAAACAATTTTGTGCATTAAAAGTTATTTTGATACAATACTTTGATCAAATATAAAAGTGATTTTTAAAATGATATTTGAACTTGAAAAATATCTTTTTATTTTGAAAAACTATTTAAGAATACTTTCCAAAAGCCAAAACCTTTGAATCGGATCAAATAAGGCTAAAACGTAAAAAGACTGAAATTGTTGGACAATTGACCTACTGGAAGAGACGGTCAACCAGAAATTTTAAACAGTTTGACCGTTCTAGCCTCTGATTTGCTATGTTATCCAAACTTTTAGATTTTTTTTGACATTTTGAATTCGATAAATATCCTCACTCTTATCATTTTTCACAAGATTTTCAAGAGCATCAAAGTGGGATATTTTTTCAGAGAATTCTTTGAGCTTTTCATTACATTCAATTTTTTTTTTTATATATCAAAAATATTGATTGATTCAAACTCTTTCATCATCATTATCGTCATCAAAATTTTTCATCTACCCTTTTTATTTAACTTATTTCTATTATTCATAAAAGAGATATGGCTTTTGAAGAAGATTTTATATTGCATATATTTTTTCTACTTCTTCATATTGAAAATTTAAATTGATTAAATCAAACTTGTAAACTCATCATATTCATTAAAGTATCTCATTTCTCTCTTGATACTTAATTTATTTCAATAATTCATTGAATGGAGGGATATATTTTTAGAAGATTTTTTTAACATACATTGCATTTACTTATTCATTTTCGATTTGAAAAACTTTGATTGATTGAATCAAATATTTAATTATCATATTTATCAATGTTTTTCATCTAACATTTGAGCTACATTTATTGTTATTCATTGAAGTATTAGTGTCTCTTAGTACTTAAATCATTTGTATCATTTTTAAGAGAGAAATTTCAATGTAAAATCATTGTTCTGAACTTGTGGGTCTTATTGAGGTCCTGTAAAAGCTCAAAAGCATAAGGATCAGTGCTCTTTGTTGTAAATTATCATGTGGGTTATATTGAGATCCCGTAAAGCTCAATTTTTTTATAAGGATCGGTACTTTTTGTTTGTAAGTCATTGAAAGTATTGTAAAGGGTTGGATTGTACAAGTTAATTAATATAGTGAACAAGCCTTGCTCATGTCGGAAAGCTTGGTAATAAATGATGTAGATCATTGCTTTCGATCGAACCTCCACAATTATATCGTTTGCATCGTTTTTACCCTTTTACTTATCGTTATCTTATTCATATTTATTATTTGATTGATCTCACTTATGGTTATTCACCATATCATTTATTTACTTGATTTAAATTTATTTTTTGAAAAAGTTTTGAAAACCAATTCAATCCCCTGGGTTAGTTATTCTTAGGCTACAGTCTAATATCTTGCCTCGAAAGTATTCTTTTCCCATCATGGGCATACCCACAT